TCTTGACCCTTTGGCTGCAAAGACAGTCTTCAACTCAGGACTAAACATCACACTCATCCCCCTCAGCACACAGCGCAAACTAAGTTCATTTCCCACGATACTGGAGAGGCTGCAGCAAACAAGGGAGAGTCCTGAATCACAATTCGTGAACAGCCTACTGTCCAGGCTACACTGGCTGCAACAGGCTCACCAGAGCTATCAGCACACGGTAAAATTTTCCAATGTATTCAACTATTCATGGATGAAGAGCTTAAAAGACTTCAAATATTGTCCTGGAATAAAACCTAGCTGTATTACTGATTTTCATTTTTCTGCAGGATATATTCTTGGGTGAGATCTTTGGCGCAGTTCTCTTGGGTAGTGATCATTCCGTTTTGAAGCCTACCTTTGAAGAAAATAACATCAGGGTCATTTCTGAAGGTGATGAATCCATAGATGGACAGATTGTGATTGATGAAAGGCAAGGAAAATCTGTAAAAGTATTGAGAAATGTTGATCCTGTGGCATGCTATGATCTATTTGCAAATCGACTGAGTGATGAAGAGCAGTCTGCTGTATTAGGAAGCTATGATGAACAGACAAAAATCTGGAGAACGCCACACATATAGCCTTGAATTCCCAGCCAAGGCATTGAACAAAACAGAAGTTTCAAAGAGAATAGTGTACTTGTGCTTGTAGATGGCTCAATAAAAAGGAACCGTTATCTATGAGATCCAGAGTTACCTATACTTTTAAGGTTTGTTTGGATAAAAATTAATAAAGGAGAGTGAAGAAAAGAGAAGGAAAGGAAAATCAAGAAAGGAGGAGAAGCAAAGGAAAAAAAAAAAAAAAGGAGAGAATTAATGTTAACTTTATTTGGATAGACGAAAGTAAAGGAAAAAAAGAGAAAATATTTTTATTTAATTAAATAATTTAAACAAAAATAAAATAAAATATTTAAAATTTACTAATTAAAATAAAATATTTTTATATATTTATTTGTTAAAAATATTAAATATGTAAATTAAATCTCTAATAAATTTTCTAACTTGAAGGGATAAAAAACAGATGAGTAGATGAAGCTTTATCACTTTCAATCTTTTTTCCTCTCCATCAATGAAAAAACAAATAGAATAAGGTAGAGATTTGCCCTCACTCTCATTCCTTTTCCCTCCAAATTCATCCATTTAAATAGAGACTTAATCACAAGTGTAGAATTAAATCCCTAATCCCTATTTAAAATAAAGCTGCTCAATAAAAAAGAAACGATTAAAATAATAGATGCTATAGAAAACAAAAATAATTTGGTTTCTTTCATATATTATATGCCCATGTACCCAAATCAGGTTCACTCTATAACAAATGATCATAGCCCTCATTAGGAACGCTAAACAAATCAAAGGCATAACAGGGAAACTTAGAACAAAGTTCAAACAACACTGTAGACTTTGTAAAATCAATCAAAATGATCCAATCATCATATGAAGGATTGAGCGTAGAAAGACTTCGTCTACAGAATTAAATCAAACGAATTAACGCTATTTCAAGCAAACCAAGATGCAGACCAACACTCATTGCGTGATTCCTTTAGGAAACATAGCAGAATGAAATCTAAGAATTTTGAAGAGGCAGGACATAGGCAAAGCAGCATAGAAGCGTAACAAAGAAGAAGCTAAATCCAAAAAGAATGCAGAGTAACACAGAAACCCAAGAAGACCCAACGGAAATTAGCAAGCTTCAACTAATTGAACCGAAAGAATCATTTCAAAATCCAATAATTGCATCAGGTTCCTCCCAAAGAAATCAAACAAGTTCAATAAAAATTCATGAGAATTAAAGAGAGAGACAAGCAAGATTCAAAAGGGAATTCTTGAATACTCAGATACTCACATAAACAAGGAGAAAAACCATCGAAATAAAGCACAAGAACTTACACACTCAAATGGGTTAGCTTTTTTATTCTTTATTTTTATATTTCCTGTCCAAATTTTGCGCAATTTAACATCAATTAATCTTTAAGTAATTTTAAAATTATTTAATATATTCAATAAATAAAATTAAAATTTTTAAACTATTTATCTCAAGACTTTAACCTAATAATTATCTAACATTTGGTGACTTAGTGATCACTTCTTTGAAAGGTGTGATTGAACATAATGACCTAAATTTTATTTTCAATTCTACACTCCCCTTCTCTTGAAAATTCTCCTCTGTTAAAAAAAAAAAGGAAAAGGCTTTGTTTTTAGGGTTTTTTTTTTAATTTTATTATTTTGCAAATTTTTTTTGTTTGATTTTATTGGTTTCATTTTTGGTTTAAAAAAAAAAAAGGAGGGGGTTTAGTGGAGGGACTTAACATAGGTTGTGCCTCAAGTATTGCCACCAAAAGATTTGTTGTTTTCACAGAGAAGAAAAAGTTATTAGCTGTGGGAACAACTTTGCCACTACAATCGCTAAAGACTAGTCACTAAATCCTCATTTTTTAACGGTTCTTTATCTTCTTTTTCCTCCGTTCCAACTCTTTTGCTTACTGCATGAGTTTTCTAAAAACCAGTTTACAGGATTAAGATTGAACAGTTTTATAAAAGAATTTTGTCAATTTTGAAGGAAATTTCTTTAGAAAAAAGAGAAAATTTTTGCAGTTTTGAAACAAATGACTTTGAGATTTCGGCTTAGATTTGTAATGGGTTTGCTTTGAACTGATTTTTTTTTTTTTTATGGAGAAAAGCTCAAGTTTTTAGGATTTCTTGTACGGGGTTGAAGATGGGTTTGGTGGGGGACCGAAGGAGAGAAAATGGGGATATGAAAAATGTTTGCAATTTGTTGAAAAGGGACAAAATAGGCCCTCCATTTGCTTTTGGTGGCAACACACACACACCCGTGTGGAAAGGTTCAGACTTACGGCTGCTGTGTACAACAGAATCAATCATGATGTGTAAAATACAAGTTTCTGTGGCTTCTTACTTGGTGTTTTAAAACCCAGACCGGGGCCAGTGGATTCAACTAGTTGAATTAGAATTGATTATAAAAAGGTTCGAACCATGGTATAATTTGGTGTGCAGTGAGTGGCTTCTTACTTGGTGTTTTAAAACCCAGACTGGGGCCAGTGGATTCAACTAGTTGAATTAGAATTGATTATAAAAAGGTTCGAACCATGGTATAATTTGGTGTGCAGTGAGGCTAAAATCGATTAAATTTGTTAACTTTTAAACTAATGAATCATTTGATTCACAAAGTTTTAAATGTCTTTTAATAAGTTTGTGTATAAAGAAATTCAAACCCCATTTCCTTAACACATATTTTAAGTTTTTTATTATTGACCATCAACTCCACTATTGTTATTCTTGAGCAAAATTTTATTTAGTAAAATAAATAATAATTAAATGAAAAATAATTTTTA